CTCTATGGGATGCCATGGATTCCCCACACATCCTCCAGGAAGATCAGGCAAAGTTTTAAGATATTTTGAAGTTCTGGAGCAACAGGCAGCAAAGGTAGAGGAGTACCCTGTTGTGTCTGAAGAAACCTTATGAAAGCAGCCTCAACGGTTTCAATATTGGAACCCACAATCATAGGAGCATAATCATTACCCCCGGGTGGAGGGCTCACATAGGCAATGACTTTAAGTGGGGGATCCTCATCAGCTGTCACACCAGGAATGCGAAGCTCAACTTCTAGACAACCAGCCATAAAAACAGGATTTTCTCCCACACCATAAACAGGCATAGTGTCCATAGGTTTCAAAGGGAGGTGGCTTAAGTGTTGCTGATAGAAGGGCCTGTAGATAATAGTCAGCTGAGAGCCGTGTCAAACAGAGCAGTAGTGGGTATATCATTAACAAACAAATTGAAAGTACATCTGCAGCCTACTCCAAGCAGTTTAGTGAACATTTGTTTTCTTGATTTTCCCTGTTTTCTTTTATACATTCATCCAGCTTTACTGTGAATTTCAGAACTATCAACAAGCAGTGGACACTGACAAACTGTGTGGCCTGCTTGTCCACAGCGGAAACATTTAATGTGGAAGAGAGGCTTATCACTGGAGGTTTTATCCGCAGATAGAGCTCTAGGCTGTGGAAGTCTACCAACTTCTTTGTTTCTAGCAACAGTCTCATTTTTGTGCTCACCCAAAGAGCTCTGATGAACTTTGCTTTTAGAAGGGGTACTAAAAAGGATATCAGCCTCCGGTTTCTTTACTTCACTCATAGTTTCAGTAAAAGTAAAGTTTCTCTCTCTCAAAACAACTCTTAGGACCGATGACATTGGGTGATGCGGCAGAAGCCCCTTATGATTAATTTATCAACATCTGTAGGAGAGATGACCTTTTCAGTGAGCAATCTTCCTAGAAGCACTCTAGCCTCCTCACAAACACAGAAACATCCTCTCCCTCTTTATGCTTTGTCTGTTTACAATCAGCAAGCATCTGATCCGGGTCACGGTGCCGTCCATAAGCATCTGTCAAAATATCAATATATTCTTGGGCCCTGGTACTCACATGTGTGTCCTTGTAAGCTCTGGTGGTCTTCAGCTTTCCATGATGCGCTCTGAGCAGGTCCATTCCTTTATCACTTGTTGTGCAAAATCTTTCCACACTTCAAAGCTTTCTTCACCAGCAGGGACAGGTAGCACTCCTGAAAAAGCCTTTAATTTGCGGTAAGAATCAGCATGTAAATTCTGAGCAATGACTTCAGGACTTTTAGCAGCAGATGCTCAATATTTGTTTCCTGCATAGTGGCTGTAGAGGCAACATTTCAGTCTCTCCTGATGAAGCCGTTGTATTCAATGGTTGGTTCACACTTTACAGGCAGGGCTGGTAACTTTGCCTTTCTGGAGGTGAAATCACTGGAAATACTGCAGCACAACCAATTGCTTCAGCCCTTTGGGATTTATGAAAAAGGGCCCTTTAACTGGATTTAAATCCACCTCACTGAGACAGAGATAATGGGTATACAGTTCAAAACTCTCATCTTCTTCTCTATTATCCACAAGAGTAGCATACTACAAGGTTTTATTTGCTTTTAGTGCCTCCTGCAGTCTGTGGGAACTCACAGTGATAGGCACATATGAAATAGCAAATGTCCTTTCAGGTGGCAGTCCCTCTTCTAGAGCCCACTGCCTCACAGCTTCTGTTGATAACAGTGAAATGATCGTTCCTTAATGTCCTGATCCAAGATAGATCTCAGCAGTGCCTCCAGATGTTGCGCTATTTGTACACTCTTTGCGGCTACTGGAGTATGATGGTGCCACCTGTATAGTAATTAGGAGCAGAGTCCGTATAATCTGTGTGATCCAGGACAAGATCTCTAGCGCTAGTGCCTCCACTCAATTGGGGCTTGTGGATAACAAGTGAAATCCCAACTGAGAAATGTATTATCCACATAGACACTAATCCACACAGCATTGTATATGAAAGTCCATGTATTGAAGTAAAATAACATTCAGTGACCCATCCAACATAAAGTATCTTCCAAACAGGAACATTAAAGTATTAACAGTCTGTTTTGCACGTGTCTCAGTGAGGGGAGGCTGCAACACTCTGTCTGAGCTCTCTCTCTCTCCAGGAAAACCACACTTCCCTCTTTTTCACAAGTCTCTCCCTGATGACCTCATCCTCAGTGCCCAGAAAGCATAGCAGCTATATTGGAAAAGGGCAAAACAAACACTACATAATAGAAGTACACACTGGAAAATGGGCAAAGAAATGATCACATCACTACGTAAGTATTAACAAACACTATTTCAGCTACACCTCTAACATGGATCTAAACCTAAAGACAAAAATCTAATTCATTGCAGCTTCCCAACCCTTAGATGTGGTATATGTACGGGGGTACAATCACAGATGGCATTGTCCTGTGTGAGTGCATTTTCTGTTGGAGTGAAAAACAGCAGTTGAACACAGCCCCCTGATCATGTCCTCTCTGCTTATTCACAGGTAAATGCTGCTGTCTCATCTCCACCTTAAACTGTCTCACTGCTGTTCACTGACTTTCTACAAAACTAGTTAGTTTTTAATTAGTCTATATCTATTTGTCTGTTTGTGGTGATTGATTCTCACCTCCTTTTTGCCTTTCTGTGATCAGAGAATTAATCCTCTTTTATGACTTTGGCCTGTTTCTGTGGCTGGTCTGGCTTTGACCAACATTCCCCCCCCAATTCATGTGTTCCTTATCAGTTCCTTATTGGGGTGAAGAAGGATTGCTCACTTGATTATCTCCCTATAAATTTAGACCAGCTTATGGGGGAAGTCACAGACGGAGTGGAGTGGGGTGGGTACAGTCACAGACGGAGTGGAGTGGGTGGGTACAGTCACAGATGGCATTGTCCTTTGTGAGTGCATTTTCTGCTGGAGTGCAAAACAGCAATTGAACTAAAGCAGCAAGAAGATACAACAAAGAACTCTACTGCACTCTGGAAGGACTGCAAGCAAAACACCCTGGGAAACCTCTCATACAAGTCTGACTCATACTCCATGTACCTTTTAATATGCCCCTCTACTCTTCCTTTTCATATTATTATCCTCTGTTCTTAAAAATCTAATTTCTTTACCCCTCTGCTCCACCCCAAAGCTTATAGATCTCACCCTCACTGCTACCATCTCCCTTCTACTGCTCTCATCACCTCCTGCTAATACTTAACTCCCCTGCTGACCCAAACACCAGGACTGGAAGGCATGTGCACTCGTATTCATCCTGCTTCCATCTTACTTTTTCCTTACCCTCCTCCTAACCTCTTGGGATATCGCCCCGAACCCTGGTCCTCCAGGATCTCACCCCCACACCAGGCACCCTCCTTCTTTTCCTAACCTCTGGGGATATCTCCCCAAACCCTGGTCCTCCAGGATCTCACCCCCACACCAGGCACCCTCCTTCCTCCAGGAATAGCAGCAATCCCCTCATTTTAATCTCAGTCCCCATGCTCCTAAAAATCACCCTCCCTTTCTCATGTGCACTCTGCAATGCCCGCTGTCAGGAATGGACTTGCCAGTAATGGTGGGACTCACCTGCCTTGTGGGCTGCAGTACCAGGGCTGGCCAGCGGGTGCTCCCAGCAATCAGAGACTCAACCCTGCAGCCAGCCAAACACCTGAAGTTGATTATGCAGGTGTATTTAAGGGATGGCCAGACCTGCAGTCTCTGCCTTGGTGTGTGTTTTTCCTGGGCCCTGTATCTTGTTCCTGCATCCCTGTGCCTGTCCCTGTCTGATTCGTTGCTGACCCTGCCTGATCTGGACCTCTGCTGACTTCTCCTGTTTTATCCCTGGCTTGTGACCCCGACCATTCTCTGCCTGACCCCCTGTACCTACCTGCCCGATTGTTATTGACCCAGCCTGCCTGACGACGCTTGCATTGTATGTACTGTTATCTGTGGGTGGCTTGGTTTGGTTCGTTTGCACTGTGTTATGTTTTAGTATTGCACTGCGTTTATGTTTGTATTGTTAGTCTTTAATAAATTATATTGTTTATAACATATCTGAAGCCTGCGTTTCCCTGCGTCAGTCACACACCTCTGGTCATACCCTGGAGCCCTGACATTACACCAAGGCACAATCCTGACCAGAAGTGGCTGCACAGGGAAGCCATCTTGGCTTGTTGCTGGGAAGGATGGATCTTGATGAGGTTGTGTATTTATCTCTGCTAGTGTTTGATGACAGAGAGTATGCTTATCAGGCTCTGAGGGAGTATACCCGGGATCAACTGCTAGAATGTATACGGCTCGCTCATGTTCTAGTAGATCAGGGCACAGAGTTCTCTGAGGTGCAGCCATTGATTCAGGTTGGTGCTGAGTTGGTTTCATCTGGTACCCCTGAAAGCAGGAATGACTTTTTGCCCCCATTTAGTGCCGACCAGGTAGAGTCCCTGGTATGGTTATTAGAGGATGATGTGGATTGCTTCTTGGAGCATTATGCTGCATGTTCACCACAGACACTAAGAGATTGTATAAACGCAGTGCAGTCTTTGGTCAGACAGGCTTTGTGTAAGCTGAGCTTTGTTCAACCCATACTGCAGACATGGTCAGACTTGTTGCACCCAGCCTCAGTCAGCTTGCAAAAACCCAGTCCTGCTTCTAATCTATTTCTTCAAAGCTCTATTCCTGCATTCCCAACAGCACCTCCAGTTACAGCCCAGTATACCCTCCTATCTACCGCATGTCAGTACCCTGTTCCCACTCGCTGCACCTATCCTGCCTTTAACCCTGTAAAGAAGCCCTCTGTAGCAACTGTTCCCTCCCCTGTTCCATCCTCCAGCTCTTCTCTGTCTCCAGCTGCTCCATCCGTTTACAAACCTGCGCTTACTTACGGTGCTCCGGTAACTAAAACCAGGAAAAGGCGAAAGTTCTTTCCAACCAATACCATCCTGCCAGTATCCAAACCGGTCAGCCTCCCATCTGAGAACCTGCCTTCCGTGGTGCAGCCTGGTGCCTCGGCGCCCACAATTCAGCCTGATGCCTCTACCCAGCCTGATGCCTCTACCCAGCCTGATGCCTCTACCCAGCCTGATGCCTCCATTCAGCCTGATGCCTCTACCCAGCCTGATGAACTGATCCAGCCTGATGATTCCATTAGGCCAGGTGACTCGGTGCCCACTGCCTTGCCAGATGACGCGGTGCCCGCTGGCGAGCCAAATGACCTGATGCCTGGTGACCCAGTGCCCGCTGTCATACCTGGTGACCCGATGCCCACTGTTGAGCCAGACAATCCCATGCCTGATGACCCAGTGCCCGCTGTCATGCCTGGTGACCCGATGCCCGCTGTCGGGCCAGACGATCCAATGTCTGACCCAGTGCCCGCGGTCATGCCAGTTGACTCGGAGCCCACTGTCGTGCCTGGTGACTCGGTGCCCACTGCCTTGCCAGATGACGCGGTGCCCGCTGGCGAGCCAGATGACCTGATGCCTGGTGACCCCATGCCCGCTGTCGAGCCAGACGATCCAACGCCAGATGACCCGGTGCCCGCTGTCGATCCAGACGATCTGGTACCTGATGACCCAGTGCCCGCTGTTGTGCCAATTGACTCAGAGCCCACTGTCGTGCCTGGTGACTCGGTGCCCACTGCCTTGCCGGATGACGCGGTGCCCGCTGTCGAGCCAAATGACCTGATGCCTGGTGACCCGATGCCCGCTGTCGAGCCAGATGATCCAATGTCTGACCCAGTGCCCGTGGTCATGCCAGTTGACTCGGAACCCCACTGTCGTGCCTGGTGACTCGGTGCCCACTGCCTTGCCAGATGACGTGGTGCCCGCTGGCGAGCCAAATGACCTGATGCCTGGTGACTCGATGCCCGTTGTCGTGCCTGATGACCCGGTGCCCGCCGTTCCGCCTGGGGGCCCGCCGCTTCGCCTGGGGGCCTGGCGCCCGCCTGGCGGCCTGCGGCCCCGCCTAGGGGGCCCAGCGCCCGCCACCCTGCCTGGGGGCCCGATGCCCGTCGCTCCGCCTGGGGGCCCAATGCCCGTCGCTCCGCCTGGGGGCCCGATGCCCGTCGCTCCACCTGGGGGCCCGATGCCCGCCGCTCCGCCTGGGGGCCCGATGCCTGCCGCTCCGCCTGGGGGCCCGATGCCTGCCGCTCCGCCTGGGGGCCCGATGCCTGCCGTTCCGCCTGGGGGCCCGGCGCCTGCCGCTCCGCCTGGGGGCCCGATGCCTGTTGCCCCGCCGCCCCGCCTGGGGGCCAGATGCCCACCGCCCCGCCTGGGGGCCCGGTGCCCGCCGCTCCGCCTGGGGGCCCGATGCCAGTCGCCCCGCCTGGGGGCCCGATGCCTGCCTGCTGCTCCGCCTGGTGATCCGGTGACCAAGCATTCACCCGATATAAATCTGCTCTCTTAACATACAATTCCTCCCTCCATGCTGCCAAACAAGCCTACTTTGTCACTCTTATTAATACCTTGTCATCCAGTCCTCATCATTTCTTCTCCACTTTTAACTCTCTACTTTCTCCACCTCCACCTCCTGCCAGTAACTCACTCACTGCTTACAAGATTGCCAATCATTTTATAAACAAGATTGATGCAATTCATAGGGGCATCTCCACCACACAGACATCCATCCCACTTAGCATACCTTATACTAACCCTCCTGTCATGGTGTGGGAGCCTGCCAATTATTAATCCCCTTATTAATGCCTTGTATCACATGCCCTCAGTGTCCTGCTCTGTATTGTTCCAATTGTCCCCTGTGTCACTAGGCCAAATGGCCATATCAAATTACTCTGGGCCCCCTCCCTCCTGGCCAGCTGCCTGGGAGCTCTCTGCACACCTCCCAACCCGCTTTTCATCTATGCAGACAGCATCCCTGCCCCTAGGATGTCCCTGTCACCAGCCTGATTCTCCCTGGGGTCTAGTGTTCCCTTCCCCCTCCCGGTTGCCAAGGCGACCGGGGAGCGTCCTGCAGCAGTTTAAGAGGTGGATGCTGGGAGCTCCTAGTCATTCTGGTGTGTAGTCTGCAAGGGATCTCAAGCTTCGGCAAGACCCTTGTGAATAGACTCTGCAAGCCTACCCCAGCCTCACAGAGACCCCACAGGAGGGAAGAGACAACCATAGAAAGCTTGCCTGCGATTGCGAGAGACCCCACAGAAGGGGGAGAGACTACCACAGCCTGTCTGCCAGAGCCAGAGGCCACCCGCCTGATCCGGACTCCACAGGTACCTGCGTTCTGCTTCTACCCCTGGAAGACCAGGCACCCTGTTGGGTCCGTGAGTACCTGCTTCCCCACTGTGTTACCTGAACTGTTGCGGTGGTGACTCCTCGCACCCCTCTCCTGTGTCGGACTACCCCTGTTACAGGGACACCCCCTTGGCTCTCCTAGTGGACTATAAGTGGGTGGGGTCCCCTCGTTACCCTTTAGTGGCAAATCCACCCTCTCTGCCACCCAACGTATTGAAGGACTGCCGTCTGTTTGTCTCAATAAAGCTTTGTGCGTCTGCTATCCACTCTGTGTGTTCTGTCCTGCCTTTACTCCGTTACACCTCCCTCAACACTTTCCTCTTTTGACCTTGTTATTACCGAAGAGGTCAATAAAGTTTTCTCAGAAGCCCATCTTACCACCTGCCTCCTGGATCCTATCCCCTCACAACTACTACGATCACTCTCTTCTTCTATCCTATGCTTTCTATGCTTCCTCACTCACATCTTCAATCTCTCCCTCTCTACAGGCACCTTCCCCTTCCTTCTAAAGCATGCACACATCATTCCCATACTTACAAAGCCCTCCCTGGACCCCACCAACCTGAACAACTGAAGACCCATCTCCCTGCTGCCATTTACCTCTAAACTCTTAGAAAGCTTAGTCTACAATCGCCTGAGCTCCCACCTCACCGACAACAACCTTCTTGACCCTTTACAGTCTGGCTTTCACTCACTACACTCCACTGAAACTGCCCTACTAAACCTCACTAATGATCTACTAACTGATAAAACCAATGGCCACTACTCCATACTCATCCCAACCAATGGCCACTACTCCGTACTCATCCCAACCAATGGCCACTACTCCGTACTCATCCCAACCAATGGCCACTACTCCGTACTCATCCCCCACCAATGGCCACTACTCCGTACTCATCCCAACCAATGGCCACTACTCCGTACTCATCCCAATCAATGGCCACTACTCCATACTCATCCCAATCAATGGCCACTACTCCATTCTCATCCCAACCAATGGCCACTACTCCCTACTCATCCCAACCAATGGCCACTACTCCCTACTCATCCCAACCAATGGCCACTACTCCGTACTAATCCCAACCAATAGCCACTACTCCATACTCATCCCAACCAATGGCCACTACTCCCTACTCATCCCAACCAATGGCCACTACTCCATACTCATCCCAACCAATGGCCACTACTCCGTACTTATCCCAACCAATGGCCACTGCTCTGTACTCATCCCAACCAATGGCCACTACTCCGTACTCATCTCAACCAATGGCCACTACTCTGTACTCATTCCAATCAATGGTCACTACTCCATACTCATCCCAACCAATGGCCACTACTCCCCACTCATCCCAACCAATGGCCACTACTCCCTACTCATCCCAACCAATGGCCACTACTCCCTACTCATCCCAACCAATGGCCACTACTCCGTACTAATCCCAACCAATAGCCACTACTCCATACTCATCCCAACCAATGGCCACTACTCCCTACTCATCCCAACCAATGGCCACTACTCCATACTCATCCCAACCAATGGCCACTACTCCGTACTCATCCCAACCAATGGCCACTGCTCTGTACTCATCCCAACCAATGGCCACTGCTCTGTACTCATCCCAACCAATGGCCACTACTCCGTACTCATCCCAGCCAATGGCCACTACTCTGTACTCATTCCAACCAATTTGTTTTTTGTCAAAATTTTCAGTGGTTTTTGGTTTGTTTAAGAAAAAATAAAAAACCCAGAGTTAATTAAATACCGAACAACCGATCCAGGGTATTTTTGCATTTGCATTTTATTGCTGTTTTTGGTGCATATTCCACACTTGGGGTGCCTTTAACATGTAATGACAACACAAAGCACATTTACAACATGTTTCTGGAACACATGGCAAAGCTCGCATTTTCTGTGCATTTTTCCATGCGTTCGGAAACACACAGATGTGAATGGAGCCTCGTTCTGTGTAATTTCACTTTCAGGCTTCATTCACACCTAAAGTAGTGGGGGAAGGGGGGAACACGTTTTTAGACTCATTGTTCCAATGATACATACAGTATAGGGAAGCCCCTTTGATCTCAATGGGCTACACGTGGCAAAGTAGCTCATGGGACATTGTGGGGTGGTGCGTGTTGCACGTTTTTTACTACATGTTTTGCTGCATTTGTCATCCATTTTTTTTATGTGGCAAAATGTGTGTTTGTTTCTGTGTTTGGTGTGCCATTAGCAATTAATGACACTGAAAGCACAACTAGGTCATTTTAGTGAATATAAAGAAGGCCATACACTATACAATCTGATTATACAATCTTCTTTAGATTTACCAAAATTATATAATAGGAGGACACACAATCTATCCAATCACTTTGTATCCAATCAGGTAGGCCCTTGCACTACATCAGGGGTGTCCTGAGGGCTGTATGTGGCCTCAGGGAATTTAGTATTCACCGGAGAAGGCGGATGGTGGCAATTGGCTGAACCACATTGATCAGGTGAGAGAGACCCATGCATCCACTAGCTGAGTGAACATTGACATCTACTACCCCAGTTACCTGCTTGCACATAGTTGTGAACATTTTACACAGTTCCCCCAGTTTGTGGCCGAGCTATACCAGCACCGCTGATGGAACATATCTGCAGTACAGTTATCAATCAAGCTGACCGCAGGATATACAGTTATAGACCAAGATATAGCAGTGCCTACTGAAGCATCAAGTCTATCTCCCTTTTTGCAGAGCAGGATCCCTTTCACTATTCATCTTTTGCCCTCTGACATTCGGAGGGAGTTGCCTTCATCCATAGACATTTATGCCAGCTGCTGCTATCTACTACTTCCAGGTCGCTTCATACATTGAGTTCTTAAAGGACACTTGGCTCTAATCCTTCACCATCAATCAGGAAAGTGCTAAAACATCTCCTTTTCCCTCACTATTTTTGGCGTGACTACCCTAAGGAACTATTAACCGCCCTTTGACTCTGAAGGGGACATTGCCAATTATAACTGAGAATTCTCTTATCTCACATTTAATATTTGCTAATTAGTTATGAGGACCCGCAGTGAGCTTATCTGTTCATTTGATAGTCATTCCTGCTCACTGGGGATTCAACAGTCCCCTCAGACTGGAGGCAGTGGATAATAATTCATAAAGCAGACCTGTGAACAGTTCCTGTTCTTTTGTTGTGAATGTCATTACTTTTGCTCACCATTGCCAAGAGTGATCACACTTACTGCCAATACCAATTATATTTTGTTATTCCTGTCCTCCAATTCCAAAATAAACTTCATTTTGGTTTATACTACTCTGTGTGTGACTCCATTTTACAAGTGTGATTTATTGGGGTCCCCATCGCATGATGTCAGCAGAGGTTGGGCTTTCAACGAGAGGTCCACATTGACAGGGAACCCAAAGAAATGACTAAAGCAACACTTAA